GGGGGTTTGGTGCGACTCTATCTGCGCTGGGCTTTTCGCAGCCCTTCATTGGCGCAGCTGCCAACCCCAACGTCCTTGGAGAGTTTGACATCTGGTTCAGGGACGCCTTCTTTCCGGGACTCAGTCTCGAGGAGCTGCCCGAATCGGGTGTTATTCGTTGCCTCTTGGAGGGGTTGAGCGGTCCAATGTCCAAGGCCTTGGCCGGTATAATAAATAACTTTCGCGAACTTGGTCGTGGCTCTTGGCGTTTCTTTGAAACTGAGGATGGATTCTTGGGAATAACTGCCGAAGAAAGCCGCCTAGGTGATCTTTTGTGTATTCTCAAGGGCTGTGGAGTGCCGGTCATGTTGCGCAAGAATGGAGACCACTATACCCACATAAGTACATGTTTTGTCGTGGGTTTAATGGAAGGCAGGAACCATGAGTATGCCTGGGCAAAAGAGGCAGCTCGGGAAGATTTTGAGATACGCTAAGATTACTCTCTTCATAGAGCTGGCTACAGCTAAATACTTGGGAGTATCACCTTCTTTGCCGCCATCCTATTTCCCTCCATCTACTCACCTAGGTCGAGCACAGTCTAGAGAGACCGATAAAGAGAGAAAATACAGTAAAATACCATCCACGGCCCTTAGTACCTACCAGCGGTTGCAGGGCCGCGGCTGACGTAGCACTTAGCCCATAGCGCGCAATCTGGCCGGAAGTATACGCGCTGCTCGAGTTGTCTGGAAAGATATTAACCAGTAACGCGCCGGCAGTATGGCTTAACAGAGTCGATAGAACGCAACATGGAAACTATAGGACAAGAGAAGAGATACGGCAACATGGACGCCAAAGTACATAGCTTATTCATATCCCACAATTAACAGGATCTGTACTAGCAGAAATGACTCCGTACCGACGATACCTTGCCGCCCCAATAGGGACACTGCCGAGTGGACTCCCACGGCTCAGAGCTTCGTCCTAGATTTCTGCCGTTCGTGTATAGTTATAGTCGACCAGTTTCCCTGCATTGATGCTACCGATAATCATCCCTCCCAGGCCAGGGAGGAAGGCCAAGCCAATAAGAGATCGTTATAACCGTAGATATCATCGAAAATGGTCAGGATGGCCACTTAGAAGGTATAGTATACGTAGTACGACGATACTACTATCCATAACACTACGGTAGCGTCCGGGTGCAAGATAATACGCAGCGACGCTAGCATGCTTAACGGCTTTTACTTTGGCCTTTCTCCCTCGTGGGACGCAGAGTATGGCAACAGAGGGTGACCTTCGATATACCTCGGCCTTTCCCTCCTGCCATCCTCCAACACGATTACTACGTCCGCAAGGTCCCTTTCGCCGCTTCGACCCGTTCCCGACAACTCCTTTCGCCGTCTCGGGTATAGTAAGCCTAGCCAGAACCAGAGATAGCACCGAGACAATCAGTAACGCGAAAAACATCTACGTATAACCCCCCGTAAAGTTGGCCATCGCCCCCGCCACTACCGGTCCCACCGCCGATAGTCCGTTACAGAGCGAGAGCATCGGCCCCAGCATACTACCCCCGCTCCGCCGTTGATGTCTGAATTTGTCGAGCAGAGGTTTAGCCGCCTTGGTTTGTCATAATGCTGGAAAGAAAAGGTATTTCACCACCTACCTTACATACCTGACAGATAGGTGCACTCCGAGTAAACAGCACTTTTACATATTTATTCCAAGTACATACTCTAAAATAGCTTGAAGAAAAGTAGGAATGTCATATTAAGCATAGCTATCTAGCCCGTTCTTTTTCAGGAAATCCTCCAGCAGCCCACCAACCTTCTCATTATCCATGTCCGCAAAAGCAATGTGAGTGCTGCCTTTAAGGCCAAAGTCGTCTCCAAGCATGATCACCTCAGCATTGCCACCATAATGGTTGATGGCATCGGCCATATATCGCGATACTTCTACAAACTGGGTGAGAGTGTTGCTAACGCCGTCCGCTCCGCGGTGGTCGCCCCACACGAACTGAACAGCTTTGAGGCGGGCGAGCTTCTTGAAGTCCTCAACGGGGACGGATTTAGGCCCAAAGTAAGCAGCCGTAGCGTTAAATTCCGGCACCTCTGTTGCTGAGTCCGGGACAATCGCACCGACACATTCATAGGCGACTATTCCCTTTATGTTTGTCGAGTTGCTGGTCGTGGCTGTGAGCATGGCGCGAATGCATGCTGCCGAGTTGGTGAGGTAAACAATGCTGGAGCCTATCTTTCCCGAGTCGGCGGCGATTGCGGCTGTGTCTGTGTGAAGTACGAGATTCTCCTCCGTGTCATACTCTGGGTACCGCGAACATGTCGCCTGGTTCCAGGCCTCAGCGTCGTCTTTGGGGAACTGAGTATCTGGCCACCATTGTTTATAAGCCGTGCCGAAGTTCCATGCCACGAAATTGCTCTGGTCTCGGTACTCGGGGACGTAGGTGGTCGGCTCGCAGGGCCAATTCGCTCGGCCGATCCGGGGACCCTCCCACAGGTAAACAGGATAATCCCGACGAAGAAACATGTCCTTGTATCCTTCACCGCCATCGAAGCGGTTCTGGAACGACTGGGTACTCGAGCTGTGCCACATGACGAGACTCGTCTTTCGTGGCGACCATGGGAGGAAATATTCCACGTAGCCATGATCGCAGGAGAGAGTAAGGGTCTCATCCAAGGGACTGACGATAACCCTACCCCCGACTGTGAATCCTCCAGAGCTGTCCAAGACGATCGGCTTTCTCTTCGCAGTTGGCGCCTCGGCGGTAGCAAACAGGGGGGAATAGAGCAGGACTGCTAACATGTCGATGGCTGCATTCCGCGATGCATAGGATCCGCTCCTTTTTAGGAGATGCATTGTGGCGACGATCTTGGTGCTGGCGTTTGAGTTAAGAATTTGTCTTGGTCCCTATGGGGGTTTGTGAGGGTTTAAATCGAAGGTACGGCTCTAACCAGCGCGATTAAATAGGTATAGAAGACCATAAGAACAGGTTTTAGATATTATGCCATCCTAGGCTTTTTCCCGTTCCCCCAGGCCTCTCACCATTACCCCTCCTTAAAGCTCCTTTGACCAATATCGGCAGCTTACAGCGGCTTACTGGGTGCATTGGAATTAACTACCCCGCAGCTGTACCAGCTTTCACCTATGCATTGTAGTCACGGCAGTTGGCTTAGCTGCCGCTGAAAACAATAAACGTCAGTACAGCCAAACCCGCTGTCATGACCCAGGTCACGACATTGGGCCGTGGCAGCCTGGGGCTGCCACGAGGGACCAATCAACCACAGGAACAGGGTGGATACCCTACGGCCAATCAGAGGGGTCCCGGCGCGGGACCGGGACACTGGACCCCGAACCTGGTCCGGGACCAGACATACAACTTTAGCAGCACTTAGATAGTCAGTTATATAGATAGGTAGACCACGCCCTTGAGTGAGGAACTGTTCTTGTTCCTCACGCAAGCAATATCATGTTCCCGTCTACAATCTTGCAAGCACCTTCTTCAAGCTCTTTGTAGAACACCCTGTTTGAGACGGTACACGACTCCGTCTGGACCTTGCGCAACCTTCGTTCCCCACCGTCAACAGAACCCCGCGGCGGACTGCCTTGCAGTCTGACCCTTTGGGTACAGGTTGTAACACTTAGGCAGATAACTCGACCGCAGACTCGGCCCGTCGGTCCATCGCCGCCCACAAACTACCAGCCGTCGTCAGGGCGTACGGCAGCGCCACCGATCTTGCCGCCGACCCTGATGTTGATCTTGTGATTGTGTGCGTCAACGTTGGGAAGCACTACGAGCTGGCCAAGCCAGCCTTGCTGGGGAAGAAGGACGTCTACGTCGAGTGGCCGCTCGATGCGACCGTTGCCGATGCCAGGGAGCTCACGGACCTGGCCCGCGAGAAGGGTGTCAGGACGGCCGTCGGCCTGCAGGCGCGCTCGGATAGGCTGGTGCTCAAACTCAAGGAGCTACTTGCCACCAACGAGATTGGCGACGTGGTCAGCTCCACCGTCGCGGCTTCCATGGGCTTGATCAATTCGATCCGGTGGACGGAGGCATCCGCGTATTACCTCGACATGGCGACCGGCGGTAACTCGTACCACATCTTCTTGGCCACTGTGAGTTCCATCCTTCACACTCGTCACCGCTGGTTCGCAACTAACTGCCGAACCAGTCCTGGACTCCTTCACCAACGTGCTTGGCCCCTTCGACGCCTCCAACATCCACGCCATTCTGAAGACGGTGAACAAAACAACTGCCCTGTATGACTCGATGAAACCGGACAGCAAGGTCGTCAACCCAGCGTACCCCGTGACATCTCCGGACCACATCCTCGTCCAGGGCGTCCTGGCCAGCGGCGCCGTTGCGTCGTTTGCATTTCGCAAGCCCCCCTCGACGGCCGTTGACGACGTCGGCTTCCGGTGGCTCATCACAGGCACCAAGGGCGAGATCGAAGTCACCGTGCCCGAGATGAACTGGCAGTTCGCGGACCCGCGGATGAAGCTCCGGATCAAGAAGGTGGGCGAGGAGACGGCACGGGAGGTGGACTACGTCGCCGGACAGGAGGATGAGCGGACGGGGGGCCAGATACACGTCGCGCTCAACACGGCGCGGTCGTACGATGCCTTTGCTAAAGGAGACGAGACGCGGTTTGCTACGTATGAGTCGGCGTTGGCGACGCATGAGCTGCTGCAGCGGATCGTGGAGAGTGCGGGGTGGTGAGGTGGCGGCAACGTCAAAAGACATGCGGCGTTGGCCGATCTCGACAACGGGAACACAGTTGACCAACAGACGCTCGGACAATCACAACGTCAGAATTTTGCAAGATAGACATGCCGACAATTGGGAATATCCGCTTCTCTCGCCCACTTTCATGTCCCTCCTTTCGTCCCATCCCGTCTCTGCATACGGACATTCAGGATACAGTCCCCGAAGACACAGTCTCCGGAGACGAACGTCCCCTCCAGTCCCTCACCTCTTTAGTTTGTCTGACGCTACAGCATCAAACGAAGACGGGGGTGTAGCTCATCCGGTAGAGCGCGCGCAGCGAATTATCATTACACCTAAAACTCTCTCTCCTAGCGTTGCTTTTCCATCAGCGTTGTCGAGAGGTACTGGGTTCGAGTCCCAGCACCCCCAATACCTCTTTTTGCTCCCTCTTTATTTTGGTCTTACAATACAAAGCACCGCGACCATCGTCACCAATACCATTATGGGCGATGCGCATCACAGCCCAAAGTCAGCCCACCTGCTCAGAACTTTCTTCTTGATCTCCTCGGGATACCCATTCTCAAAATCGCACGTCACCCATTCCTGTTGCCCCTTGTACTCGGCCGGCAGCAGACAATTGGCCACGACCTTTCCGCCGGTAAGCTTGGTACCCGTGCCGTGCGACATGTACGGTACGAGTGGATAAGCCGGCACATCCTCAAAATGAAACTCGTCCAGGTACGGGCGACACCTCGTGGCATAGGCCCAGGTGACGTCGTTGAAGTCGAACGGGTCGATGTCGTCGCCTACCACCAGCAGACGGTGGACCTGCATGCCGGCCTTGTGGCGGAACACCAGGCTGCCAATCTTGTTGCACAGCTCCTGCGCGTTGGTGCCCATCTCGGCGAGCCTCTTGCGGTCGACCTGCACGGCGGCCCAGATGACCTGCGTCTCGTAGGGAGTGAATACCTGCGTGACGGGGAGGCCGGCGTCCTGCAGGAGCTGGCGCATTTCGGCCGAGGCCAGGGTGCCGATCATGGTATGGGTCTCGTCCGGGCCCAGGCTGGAGCGGCCGGGCACACACACCGGGAGGATGGCGTCGTTGCGGTGCGTGATGGCCGTGACGTTGTAGATCGGCTGCTGCGAGTTCTCGTCCAGGAAGCTGTACCCGTGCATCTCGCCAAACGGTCCCTCCTTGGCCGTCTCGGAGATGGATATCGTGCCCTCGAGCACGATCTCGCTGTTGGCCGGCACGTACATGTCGTTGGTCTCGCACTTGACCAGCTCCAACGGCGACCCGCACAGGGCGCCAACGTACTCGGCCTCGGACACGCCGGCGGGCAGGGGCATCGAGGCCGCCATTGTCGCGATGGGCGGGGCGCCGAGTGCAATGGCGTAGGGTATGTCGCGGCCGCTGCCCGACTTCTTCCAGGCGTCGAACAGCCGGGCGATGTGCTGCGGCTTCATGATGAGCCCGACCATCTTGTTCTTGTCCGTCACCATGGCGCGCGCGATGGACCAGTTGGTCCAGTCCTGGGTCGGGTGCTGCACGATGTTGATGCCGAGCGTCTGGATGTAGTCGCCCCCGTCGGCGCGGTTGAGCAGCGGGTTCGGCAGCTTGGTGAGGTCGACGTCGTTGCCGAGGATGATGTTCTCCTTGCAGGGGCCCGTGGCGACGTGGACAGGAGGCAGAGGCTGCGATTTCTTGGCCGACAACATCTTATCGATGACGTCTCCGAGTGTGGCGTCGCCGGGGAGGGCAAGCTGCCGCGCCAGACGCCGGTAGGGGAATTTGGGGTCGCTGGACAGCCCGCCTGGTGCGCCGAGAATGCGGTAGAGCCCGTTGCGGGCGCCCTTGACGTTGTTAAAGAGCGGTGCTTTGGCGCGCTGCTCGTAGACGCGTCGGATGATGGCGGCCACCTCGAGGTGCGGGTCGACCTCGGCATCGATCGAGGCCAGGTCGCCGTCGCGGCGGAGGGCCTCCACGAACTGACGGAAGTCGAGGTGTGGTTCATTGTTGCGCGCGTCTTGGGACAGCCATCTCCTTGCCGCACAACGTGTGTGGCGGCCGTTGACCGGTGCAAGTCTCGTGTGGCTGGCGAACCGAAACATCTTCGTTGGCTGGATGCTGGATCATGGTGCGCCTGAGGAAACAGCCGGCCGAGATGGCCAACATATACCACCACGAATGGTGTCGGCGCGGCCGATTGGGGACTGGAGTAAGACTCCTGATTACGTAGGCTATGATGTAGGTGGTATTTCCTCGTATTCAGCCAATGGCTTAATAACACATCACTTGGTATTTCCTCGTATTTAGCCAATGGCTTAATAACACACCACTAGGGATAGTCTCACTCAGCGCATTCTACACTTTATAGGTAGTGACAATAACTTCCACGATACGGGCCCTAGCGGACTTTATTCGGAAACCTGCTACCTATTGGAAGGAACGGACTTGGCAAACCAGCCACAACCGCGTCATCCGGGGTATCAAGTTCAGCTGTGGCGATGCCCCTGAAGTGTAACTTAGTAAACACCATGGCAATCCTCGATGCATTAAAATGCCACAATCGTCTTCTCGATGCGTTGCTCGGTTCACTGGCGTACCAAGCATCTAGATTATCTTAACCACTACAACACAATGAATGCCGGACTACGAATAATGCAAAGTGGGCTGCGTGCAGTCAAGCCCCAGCCCAACTGCACTTCCCGTCTCGCACCATCATCATCAGCAGCATCTCGACTTCACACCACATGCAGTCGAGCTGCGCAAACCACACCCTCTCCCCGACGGAAGCGCGTCATTGTCGCTGTCACGGGCGCGACCGGGTCCCCTCTCGCCGTGACGCTCCTCCAGCGCCTGCGACAGCTCGATGTCGAGACGCACCTCGTCCTGTCAAAATGGGGCGGCGCCACGCTCAAGTACGAGCTCGCGGCTCCCGACAACACGCGGTCCTACCTCGAGGGTCTTGCCTCGCGGGTCTACTCGCCGTACGACGTGTCGGCGCCCATATCGTCCGGGTCCTACCTGACCGACGCCATGATCGTGGTCCCCTGCAGCATGAAGACGCTGGCGGCCGTGCGCATGGGCTACGACAGCGACCTCATCGCCCGCGCGGCGGGGGTCATGCTCAAGGAGAGGCGGCGGCTGGTGGTGGTGGCGCGCGAGACGCCCCTGAGCAGCATCCACCTCGAGAACATGCTCGAGCTCACGCGGGCGGGCGCCACCGTCTTCCCGCCGGTCATGACCTTCTACACCCGGCCCGCCTCGGTCCAGGACATGGTCGACCAGAGCGTCACGCGCATGATAGACTCGCTCGGCATCGACCAGAGCGGGAGTGTGGTTGCAGACGAGGTGCGCTGGAATGGGTTCGTCGAGAAGTCGGGAAGTTAGTGCAGGGAGAGGCACGTCTGCATCGCCGGCTATCCAGCTTGTTGCCGACTACCTTAACTTTCCGAAGTCAGGGCGTGTGTCGGGAATACTTCGGAAATATCGTCCAATGAACATTGCTACGAAAGTGGCCACCAGTCCGTCCGACGACTTTGCTGTGGTTGCACGAGATTGGCCGAATTCTCCCCCGACTACGCCATAACTACCTGTCGGTCCGTGCGCTATAAGGGACCGACTTATTCTTCGTAGGCTTAGAGTCGGCTATAAAAACCGTAGACTACTATATAAACCGTGGATAAGGTAGAGTTCTATTTTCGCTTAAAACAAACGATTTTATAGCTAAATATCGTTAAATCGTAGCTATTTTATAGTTAAATTAATAGCTTAGTGTCATGACCCAGGTCACGCCATTGGGCCATGGCAGCCTGGGGCAGCCACTGGCAACCAATCATTAAGGACAGGGCCTGTGGGCCCTGTACAACCAATCAGGATGGTCCCAGGACATTTTGTCCCGGGTCCGGGACCAGATGTTACCGGGACCAAGGGACCTCTCTCATTCGCTACAGCGCTTCTAGATAGTTTCCTATATAGATAGGTAGACCGCACTTTGAAGTGAGGAACTGTTCTTGTTCCTCACGTAAGCAATATCATGTTCCCGTCTACAATCTTGCAAGCACCTTCTTCAAGCTCTTTGTAGAACACCCTGTTGCAGACGGTACACGGCACCGTCTGGACCTTGCGCAACCTTCGTTCCCTACCGTCAACAACCCCGCGGCGTACTGCCTTGCAGTCTGACCCACCTTGGGTGCAGGTTGTAACACCCGCCCCCCCCGTGCATCTGCAGCTCCTAGGCTTGATGTATAGAGTCACTCTAATCTAGAAGAATCAATGAAATGGGAAGAATACGAGCTTTGGAATAATATAGCGTTGAAACTGCTTTCGAATCCGCTGTCAGTCCAAATCGGCTCCTACTGGACTGACTCTCGCTCAGCCCTGGGATATCTCTGGATCACTTGAGACCAGCCATTAAGTCCGCCGAGACGCGGCTCGGCTTGCAATAAGACGAGGAGGAGGTCAACCCACCACACACCGACGTCTCGACTCGATGGAACGATAAGATCGGCAAATACTGCGCGCAACCCCCCAACCCGTCTCCGAGTTTGCTACATCTGCAGTTCCCTCCTTGCTGATACGCATCCCTTGTACAGCTTCATGTGCCGGCTTTGCGGCGCCTTCAATGACGCCGAAATCAGGTTCGCTTCACCCCCGGCTCAGCTTCGGCTCAGATGACTTAAAGGCGATCAGAAATTCTCTGTCAGAAAGTCCAGGAGGTGCCCCTAGAACATTACAAGTATCTCGATATGTTTAGCGAGGACGTGTCAGACCAGCTATCCTCCTCCCGGCCGAAACACAACTACAAGATCAAGCTGATTGAAGGCGCTCGGCCGGAGGATCTCGGCTTCAGTCTGTTGCACCGGATGACCGCGGACGAGTTAGAGGCCTGCCGGAAATACATCACGGAGAACCTTTACAAAGGATTTATCGAGAGCAGTGGTTGAAATGCAGGGGTGGGTTGTGATCTGATTCGGAATTTGGGCCCAAGATAGGGGGCATGCGAAGATTGAGTCAAGGAGTCTCAAAGAAACTATCCCATTCCTCTGACCAATCCATTTCTCCTCCGGTGAAAGCATAACCAGAGGCGACCTCGCTTCCCCAGGAAATGCCAAACACCCCGTCAACAGGCGACCAACTGTTTTGGCTGCCATCAGCACATATAACCCTGTCCACTTCTTCGTCCCCCGCTTCTTGGTCGGGCACATGTATGGTCCCCTCATCTAGCTGCATACCATCCACCTCTTGACCGCCTGCCTCCCCGCCATCCGCTTCCTCGCCATCCGCTTCGCTACTTGCCCCCTCACCCATCTCTTTGCTATCCGCCTCGCTATCCGTCCCCTCCTCCGCCTCCTCGCCGTAGTATTCTTTGGAATCATACCACTCTGCTACCGATGCGGTATCGGGTTCGTCACCTTCTGAGTCG